ATGAATAACAAGTGGAATAAAAAAATCGTCTAAAAAAAAACAAAAACTATACAATAAATATTTAAAAAATAGAAACGAAAAAAATCTTACTGTTTATAAACAATACAAAAACCTTTTTGAAAAAATTAAAAAGAAATCTAAAAAAATGTATTTTTCTAAACAATTACAAAAGCACAATGGTAGTATTAAAAAAACATGGGAAATTATGAACGAAGTTATTGGAAAAACCAAAACTAAGTCCAAAATATTACCCTCCAGAATTAAGGAAGATGGATTGGATTATCCAAACTGAGCAACTTGAACAATTCATTTAATAACTATCTTACTGACCATACTAGTTTATTTACTCAGAGTGACCTAAAATCTGATGAATTTAAAGAAGCAACAAAATCAATTAGAAAAAACAAAGCTCCGGGCATCAACAACATTTCTAGCAAGGTAGCATATATGTTTTATACATTTTAAAAGATCCTCTTTTAGAGGTTTTCAAGTCATCAATTAGGACTGGAGTTGTTCCAGACAAATTAAATATTGCAAAGATTTTACCTATATTTAAAACTGGAGACACGGCCTTGCTAACCAATTATAGACCTACCTCAATTCTTCCAGTGTTTTCCAAACTCCTGGAAAGAATAATGTACAACCGATTTTATAAATATTTAACAGCCAATAAAATTTTAAGTGAATGTCAAAATGGCTTTCAAACACGGAGCATGCAACCTTAGACCTAATGGACAAAATTAGATCATCTTTTGATAAAGGAAAACTTGTATTGGGAGTTTTTATTGATCTTACAAAAGCTTTCGATACTGTCAACCTTAAAATTCTGCTCGACAAAATGAGAAAGTACGGTATAAAAAACCAAACTATTAAATGGTTCACTAATTATTTAAATAACAGACAACAATGTGTTATAATAGACGGTATCACTAATACAAAGTTATTAAAAATAAAATGTGGTGTCCCCCCGGGGGTCTATTCTTGCACCTTTATTATTTCTTATCTACATTAACGATCTTCCTAAAGTCTCTACAAATCTCGATTGTATAATGTTTGCAGATGATACTAATCTGTTTTACTCATCTACCTCTATCAATGACCTTTTTGATAAAGTCAACATTGAGCTTCAAAAACTTAAAACATGGTTCAGTGCTAACATGTTATCATTAAACGCCCAAAAAACTAAATATATTTTATTTCACTCAAAGAAACAGAAAAATAAACTACCATCAATTCTACCCTCACTAAGTATCGAACACAAAAAAATTGAAAGAACCCAAACAATTAAATTTCTTGGTGTGATTATTGACGAAAATATTTTATGGACAGCCTATATAAATGCCATCAATACTAAAATATCTAAAAGTATTGGTGTACTTTATAAAGCTAGACCATTTTTATCGCAAAAAAACCTAAAACTTCTTTATTTTTCCTTTATACATAGTTATCTCACATATGCCAACATTGCTAGGGGAAGCACACACAAGACAAAGTTAATGTCCCTTTATCAACGACAAAAACATCCCTCCAGAATAATACATCATAAGAACAAACTGACCCACGCTAAATCCCTTTTAAATGAAATGAAAGCGCTAAACATTTACCAAATTAATATCTATGCTAATATATTGTTCATGCTAAAATACTAGTTCCAAACCGATTCACAGAAAATTTCTTTCAATCTAATCTCAACAAATTTAACACAAGATCAACTGGTAACTTTATTGTACCCCGGAAAAAAAAATCTCAATTCTTTATTTCTTACCGCGGCCCTTATTTATATAACAAACTAATTCCGAATTATACCTCAATTTCTCTTGCTGACAATATAACTTCTTTAAAGTCAAAACTAAAATATCATGTTCTCAATACAGATAATTACTTAGAAATGTTTTAGTTCCAATAATAAATTAATATTTACGCTCACATTCAATTAATCAGCAATCAATTAAAAATGAAAATGAATTTTTTTTTTTTAATCAAAAAATAAAGATAATATTATTATTATAAACCACAACACCATACATAGTATAATAAAAAGAAAAGAAAAATCTCAATGACATTTAAAATATTTGTTTTATGAGAACCATAATGTTTATATGTGTACTTTACGCAACACCCCAAGGTTCTCGATGATAAGACTAAACTCAGTCTTCTACGAGTTCCCTACAACAATCAAAACCCTTATCAAGTCATACCATGCTTCCGATGTTTATCTTAACGGTATTTTGTAAAATATTAATTTTTTTGTAATGGAAGTTTATTTTGTTTATGTTATCGCAGTGTAAAAAAATTTTGTAAATAATATGTAATTGTAAAAATTTAAAGAAAAAAAAAAAAAAATTTCTCCCTGCTATATACCTGTTTCTAATTGATTTGCATCAATGAAAATATTACATTCTGTAAGTTTTTTACTTAATTTGTTAAGTTGGTTACCAGCAATTTTTTTTTGTGCAGTTGAGGGCACGATTTATGGATACAATTCCTTGTCTCTGTTTGGTAATGTACTTTTTATATTTTGCATCCCAATTCTCCCAAAAAGACTTGCTAAGCTTTATTGTTTGGAGATGCTCATTTGGTGATAGCTTGATAATCTGACGTCTATGGAGGTTTTCACAGGCTTGCTTTCTTACTCCCAAAACATTCAACATTGTCAACTCCGACTTGTTTAAACCTTGGAGGCATCTAAATAAATTATTGAAAATTAGAAAAAAACTAAACAGTTATAAGTTTAGTTTTCTTAATGAACAATATTAAAACCAGGATTTTATTACAGATTATAACAGTTTATTAAAAAAATGTTTAGTTTGTGTACATATTATTATTTAAAAAATGCTTTATTATGTGTACATATTACCTATTCTTGTTTCTTATATGACAGACTAACAACTCTTTCATCTTTAGACAATATACGTCTTCTTCATGCTCCGGCTATTTATTTTACGTGTACGATCTTTTTATTGTAAATTTTATTAAACGGCAAAGAAAATAAAAATAAATAAAAATCTTTTGTAAAAATTCAACAATATTTCTTCTTGTTTCCAGTTGCAATGACACATTCTATCCGTTTGTTAATTGTTATAAGATCTTTAATAAGTGAAATCTTCCTGAATTAATTGCAGCCCAACCACGTTTGTTGTTTATTCGGCACAACTCCACTGCTTCATCTAACTACTTGCTTTTCATCACTATGACATTTCTTTGAACATTGCATCTTGATTTGCTCGTTGGTTTAACTCTAAAGGACTTTTCCATTTCTTATTTAATCTCTAAAGCAAATATCAAAACTTTTGTACTTGCACTCTACTTTAGTACACACTTTAATTTTTTACACACTTTAATTTATTTATTTGTTCAAAAACATACTAAAGTATGTTTTGAAGGAGGTTTTGCGATGAAAGTCTAAGCAGAATATTCATTTCATTATGTCGAGAAAAAATTGAATGCAAATAACTTCTTTTTTTTTTAAATTAACTTTTATTTACCAAGCGTTTTGAGGTCCCTTAACCTAGCATTGTGTGGTGGAATACAAAAAGTATAAAAGATAAGCGAGCCAAACATTTAAAAATATATTCAGCATTGAAAACAAATAATATATGCAGAAATTCATACTTACCTAAGCAATAATGACAATACTACTTATTATTTAACCTGACATTCTGAGGACCGTAATAAAAAAAGGCATGTCCTAGGTATTTATCTAAAGACATGAAAACTGTACTAAAAAACTACTAAAACTTTTTGGCAATCTACCAGGAGTACTTTTTCAACTCTCAAAAGTAAAAAACAAAGTATATGCTCAAATACTTGGAGCTTAGAGAATCTTAAAAAACACCTAACATTCTGAGATCCCTTAACCTGTATTCATACTTAATTAAATAATTAAAAATTATCTCGAAAACCGGAGTTTTTTCTTTATTTTCCTGATTAATTTAATTTATCGGTAATAAACCGATAGTTTTCTCTGTTAAAAATTAAAACTTCTTTATGTATTATATTATTTTGTTTTTTATAACAATAAATAAAAAAGTTTCGGAAGAATAATCGGTTATTTATACACTTCATACCTATTAAAATAATTGAAACTTACTACAGAGGTAGCAAGAATATTTTTTTTACCTGTATAAAGTTTTGTGGCATAAAATTTGCATAAAATAAAGAACTGGTTAAAAAAAAAATAAAAACCTCTGTAGTAACATGATTGAATCCATTATGTTATGTTATGCAAAAACCTTTTTTAGGCTTTTCATGGTTTTTAACTAATTTAATATAAAATTAAATTGAAAATATAAGTATAATTAAGGACCTTCATTTTTATCATAAACAATTCAAAAATTTATCAAAAACGTGTTTTTATTAAACCTGAAAACCCTCTTAAAAAACAAAATTGAAAAATAAGTTAACTTTTTTTTATTAACAACTAATTCCATAGAAAAATACTTTAAAAGTTAAAATTTGAAAAATCTTAAAGTAATTTAAGTAAAATCTTATGCCCGCACCGATGTACGGTATTTGATGGATAAATTTTGATTAAACCTGTTTTAAATTAATTTTTCTGGCGCTTTTAACTGATTTTAACCTGGTCCAATAAGTTCAGTCAATTGGTTTTTAAGGAGAGCAAAAATTTATAGCAACATTTATTTTTCCCAGTTAAAGAATTTGAAGACATTCAGAATGCATCAAGCGCACAGGTAATATAGTTGCAATAGATCGATTGAAATTATATAGAGCAATGCGCAGAAACACATCTATTCGTTAATTGTGCACTGTTATTAGGCAGTTCTAAGGTCCTACTAACCTAAAAATTTATATTGTAGTGTTATTAAATATTAATTTAAATAATTTTGCGCAAAAATAACTGTTAAAAAAAAAAACAACCTACAAAAAACAAGTCGCGTGATGGCAAAACAATGGTTTCAAAAAAAAGTGTATAATGCAAATAAAATTGAAAATAAAAAATATAAACAAACAAGTTTTTGTTTCAATAAACTATTAGACGATTGTTGTTGAATTGTACTATTCTAAAAAGGATTCTTTCAAAACATTTATCAAAAAACTTAATATATTAAAAGATATAATAGTTTTGAAGGATATTTAATACTTTATACGTTGCTTTTTCGGCAGCAATATATAAGGGTTGTCTGCATTTATTAAATTATTGGATGAGACTTTAATTTCATCTGTTGTTTGCATTGGTTCTATTCCGTCAGAAACTATATTTGATAATAACAACGCATTTAAATAGGGCCAAGGTTCAGTAGATACAGTAGAGATAGGATATAACTTGGTGTCAACATTTTCAAAAATTTGTGTGTCTGATGGATTTGTCCTGTCAATATATTTTATAAGTGAAGCCTCAGTCATTTGACGTTGAGACGCCATTCGCTCACGAACAACTTGATATTGACTAGGCGGTTTTCGAATTGTTGGAGTATGAACAAATGAGTAGACTTCAGGGTATTCTGGAAAGTAAGTTGGAATGTATGAAGGTGGGGTTATTTTAGGAAGTCCACATTTAAGCGTTTTATTTTCTATTACAGGTTTTGTAGGAGCAATTTTAAAAGTCTGGTTGTGTGTATGCTTAGAAAACATGTGAATGTCATTTAGTGTTCCTCCAACTTCGGCTAATGCCATTTTGACATCAGTAAAATCAGGAGTTGTTCGATGACTAAGTTCACTAAAGCATCTACAAGTTCGAGTGAGTTCTGTTAAATATGCTTGCAACAATTCAGTTAACGTTTCTAAACAAACATCGCTTGCACCTTCGAAGCCACTTTCTTTACAAATGGCTGCAGCAGAAAGGTAGAGGAGCTTTCTATTTGAGTCATTTGAAGACATGTATAAAGATAATATATAAAGTTATCAAATTACGATGACATCTAAATAAAATTCAAAAACAATTTTAAAAAAAACTATATTTTAATGAGAATATAATTATAATTAAAAATAAAATAATTGAAACCATATAATATTTTTACAATTTAATTATTAATTAAATACAAAATTTAATTAATAATTCAATTGAAAAAATAAAAATGAATTAAATTAATATTATTATAATTGATCTAAATCATCAAAAGCTAAAACAGGTTGACAGCATACATAGACTTTGCAAAAGACAGTTCCACACAAAAAGATTATGTATTGAATTAAAGACAAGAAATTTGACTAACCAGTTTAAATTAGCGGTTGAACAAAATCAAATTCAGCACCCTTTAAAAATTTAACTTCTTGAAAACTACTTAGCAGATTTTTATGACTTTTTCAATGAAGCTAACTTAATTATTTATTTATTTAAATATTTTTTTACATTTTTTATTAGACGCTTAGATAGAAACCAAATATGTTTAAAGTACTTGACATCATCTGATGGAGCTTTAAGTTTTTTTTTTTAATTTTTTTTGAAACTACTATTCATTTTTACTTAAAATCTTTTTTTATCAGAAACTAATTTATTGTTTTCCAATAAAATTTCTTTTATAATAGGCCAATAACTTTCAATAACTCGCTGCTCAGGACAATTTGGAGGACTTGCTTCCTTAGGTAATAATTTACTTTAACTAGGTAATAATTTAGGTAATAAGTTACTGGACTAGAAAAGATAAAATTTATAGAGCAAAATAACGATTGACAGACAACTTAAAAGATTGCAGATGATATAAATCAGGAAAGCAAGGTGAAGGAAGCGATTTCCAAAGAACTGATGTTCGAGGAAAAAAACCAGACAAATAAGAATTTTTGGAGCACTTAAAAACAGTCACATTAAAAAGATTAGACTTCATTGAATGACGAGTAACACAAGAATGAATTATAGTAGATAGCATAAGAGGCGCTAACTCTTTAGAACAGTGCCCACTATAGTATTTATAGTAAACTATAGTATCTATAGTATTTATAGAAAAGAGAATGAGAAGCAACATTACGACAATGTAATAATTGTTGGAGACCATTATTACATTGTCGGTAACCTGCAAGAGCAGGTTACAATGCGTTTTTGCACCTTGTCTAAAAGAAAAAAAGGAATCATTGGAAGATCTGCCCTTTATATGGCAACAGTATTTCATACAAGGACGGATTTGAGGTTTATAGATATAAAGATAGATATAAATAATAGAGATAAAGAATAGAAACCTGAGTAAGAAAGTGGCAAGCACGATAAAGAGATGCAACTTTAGCAGATGCTAATTATAGTTATATACAAATCTGTGTTTAAAATTTTATGCTGTACTATTCAAACCAAAGAAGCAGATTTAATGCAATATCAGGAACTTGTTAGCAAATTTCTCAGTTAAAGAATATACTTGATTTTTTTTTGCAAAATATCTTCCTTTCTGAATATATTAGTGGCCTGGAAATAGTGAAAAGTCTTTTTTGCAAAAGGTTTCATCCTCTTCAATAATGCCCATGTTTTCTTGGTTTAAAGTTTTTTTCTTTGAGCAAGAAAATGCTTTAATCTCTCCATCAATGGATCGCTTTGGAGTTTTCTTTTTATTGACTTTTTATTTTATTTTTAATGACATGCATTTTAATTATTTACTCATTTTAATCAGATAACAATGATATTTATTACCATTACAACCAAACAACAACGCATTAACTTTCATGTGCAAAAAAAAAATTTCAAAATTGGTAGAATTTTTATATTTAAGTTTTTTTTTTTTTTTTTTTACATTCACTCCCAACAAGGCTGCAAGCAACCACTATTAAGTTGGGAGTTACTAGGAAAAAAAAGAACAGAGTTATAGAGCAAGGAAATGGTTGACAGAAGACTTGAAAAGTTGAAGGTTGTATGAGTCAGGAAAACATGAAGATGGAAGAGAGTTCCAAAGGATTGAAGTGCGGGGAAAAAAACTAGATGAATAAAAGTTTTTAGAGCATGCAGGGACAGATACAGTAAACGAATGAGACTTAGCTGAATGACGAGTAAAACGAGAATGAATTTTAGTTGATGGAACTAGAGATGATAACTCCTTTGAGCAGTGACCATGATAGTATTTGTAGAAAAGAAATTTTTTGTTTTGTAGAAAATTGTAGAAAAGTATTTTTAAATAATTAATGATTAAATTTATTTGTGTTCAACCGATAAATGCTGACTACACAAAGTTCAAAAATTATGAAAATTATTAATAAAATATTTCAAAAAGTGGCTTTTAAACATTTTGAAAATCAAAAGACAGCAAACTAGACATACATTAGAGATGGCAAATATTATTACAGTCATTTGCACAACTTTAGCAAAAAAGATATATAGAATCATGGTGAAATGATATTGGATGATTTAAAATGGCTCTAATTTTACAATTCGTTTGCTAATCACAACAAGATTTTGATTAGCAAACAAATAAATTTTTAAACATCTCAAACTAGAGATGTTTAAAAATGGAGCATATATAAATTTTTAAACTTAATGGTTATATTGGTCATTTCATGTCAAATCAATACAAAAACAAAAAAATATTATCCTATAATTTGAATTAAGCTAACTTTTAAATATATTATAGGGGTTATGAAAATTAGGAAAACCTAAATGTTTAAGTATAAGGGGTGTTCAAAAAAAAAAAATCAAAACATGTATATGTTACGCACAGATCGTGAAATCGCGCATTTAACGAACTGTGCAATTTTTTGCTCATTTTGTGAAATGGATAGCGCTGTTGCGCAACTAAATATAAAAAAAAAAACCTGTAAAAATTCAAAATTTTACAATCTGCGCAAGAGCGCTATCCATTTCACGAAATGAGAAAAAAAATTGCACATTTCATGAAATGCACGATTTCATGATCTGTGCATAACATATACACAAGAAGCCAAATTTAGGGCAAATATTAAAAAAAAATACCATTACAAAAAAATATTTTAAAAATATTGACATTTACCTTGTGCTCAAGCGGTAAAATACCCAAAAAAATGCCCCAAATTGTTCTTAAATTATTTGGCTTTGCGGGCAAGGTAAATCTTAATAATTTATAAAATTATCAAGATTTACCTTGACATTTTTTTATATTGTTGTATATCCTGATTTTTTCATAATTTTTGTTTAAATTAAAAAAAAAAATTTGCAAAAAAAATTATTATAACTCGCATTTAACAAAATAATGCATAATAACTCAATAATAAATAATTAAAAAAATAATGCATAATAACTCAATAATAAATAATTAACAAAATAATGCATAATAACTCAATAATAAATAATTAACAAAATAATGCATAACTCAATAATAAATAATTAACAAAATAATGCATAATAACTCAATAATAAATAATTAACAAAATAATGCATAATAACTCTGCATTTATATGACTTATATATAATTATATTATTTGATGTCTCAAAAAAACATTTAATTTTATTTTAATTTATCTTTTTAGAATAAAATTTTTTAAAGTTAATTGAATGATACAAACTCTTTGCAACTTATTTTAATTCATAATTTTGTATTTTGGAGCATATGTTAAATAATCCATTTGTGATTCTTTTTTTGCTTAATACTTGCTTATTTATTTTCTTGGTTGATAAAGATTGATGTCTGATGATTTGAGAATTGAACGAACTTTGTCCACAGCAATAAGTTTATTTTGTTTTTCTTCCTCATCTCTGTACTGGTTAACAAATTGTTGCATAATTCAAATAGCCCTCTCAGCATGATCATTTACATAAAAAACATTTATTTCATTTTAAAATAGCATGGTGTTAAAATAGCATGGTGTTGAAGAGTTTTTATAAGAGGGTAATCACAGGATATGCGGCACACAAAACCTTTGGTGTACACTGAAAGCTGGATGCGAAATTATGTTTAGGCTAGGGTTGTCATTGTCCTGGTTTTTCTGTAGGACAATGAAACCTTAGCTTAAGCACAAATATTTACACACTCAAACATACTGGTTTATGTGTGTAAGCCTTGCAATAGTGGTTAGAGTTCTGGCTTAGAACCAAGAAGTCAGAGGTTCGACTCTGTTGATTCCAAAATAAAAGAAAACCTGCGTTGATGCCAAATTAAAAGAGAGTTTTCTGATTCATTTTCCCTAATAATATTGTTTAAAGAGGTTCCAAACCTCCAAGACATGTTATGTTCATATTAAAGAGAATGATAAAAAAAAATGTTTGGGCTAAATTTTTTTGATTAAAACAAAAGAATAAATGAATACCAAGAAAAACTAATTTTTTTATTTTAGTCAAAGCTTGGCTTCTCGGCTTTATTGTAGGCCTAAAAGTCAGTATAATATACGCCGCAATCTACAGACTTGATAATTTATTCAAGCGCATTTTATTCCTAAGAGTTTTAGTACATGACATCATTGACTTTTGTTTGTTTACATAATCTATCTCTTGCGCAAAAAACAAAAATCAATGACAACATGTACTAAAACTTTCAGGAATAAAACGCCCTTGAATAAATTACCAAGTCTTTAGATTGCAGTATATATTATGCTGACTTTTAGGCCTTCAATAAAACGGAGAAGACAAGTTTTGACTAAAATAAAAAAGTTAGCTTTTCTTGGTATTTGTTTATTCTATTGTTTTAATCAAAAAAATTTAGCCCAAACATTTTTTATCATTCTTTTTAATATGAACACATGTCTCGGAGGTTTGGGATCCCTTTAAACTAACAAATATGGCTTTACTTTTAAACAAACTTTCTGAATAAAGTTTAATAAAAAGATAAAATATATATGTTTTGGTTTTAGTTCAAAATAGTGCTCAACTACTATCAAGCACTCCAAAATTTCTGGTGGATATTTTGTTAAGCTCGGAATTGTTGGTGGTAAAGGTTTTCTTAAGTTTTGTCTAAGAATTGTTGATACTGCATTAAAGGTTGATACCAGCTCACTGCCCCAAAAACAACCTCTCAATCAAAGGACTGGTAAAGACACTGGAGTTAAGAGACAAACTCTTGTTCTGTTATTCAAAGATTTGCCATAAACTTACTCCAACATTGAATCAATCAAATCTGGTCACTGATTAATGCAAATGGAGTTAAACTAATTCTGGCTTGTGATATGAAAGTTGCAAATATAATTTGCAACTTTCATATCACAAGTCTTCATTTTTAGGGAATATTGTGAACAAACTGTCAAAACTGCTCATCAAGACTTTTACAAATATTGATCAAGAAACAAAACAATAATCATCCAGAGTACAAAGAAAGATTGAACAGTAAGCATCTTTAAAGAACTGCTAACTCCATTTATTAGATTAGGCAGCAGAAAATCATAGCTTATGGTTTATAGTGAACTTTTTTACCATTTTAATTCTTAACTGCTGTTAGTAATTATAAATTTTATTATCGTATGTTTACAATAATAAAATTTATAATTTATATTCTCTTTTAGTCAAAAATTATTCACAATTATAAATTGTGAAAAATTTTTGACTAAAAGAGAATATTAAGACATTTTTTAAAAATTTCTTACAGAGAAAATCAAAGAACATGTCTTACAATTAAATCAGATGGTATTTGGTGATAATATAATGTAAAAAATAGGGTCTATATAGTTACTTTTTATTTCTCTTTAATTCACTTTGATTAAATACTATTCCGTTCTGCTCCCTGATAAGATTAGGTTTTCTTAAAGCATCTTAAAAAAATTTCTAAGACATTTTTCAAAATGCCCCCTAAATTAAAAGATAAATGGCCAGGAGGATTTTTTTGTGGATCATATTTAATTTTGTATTATACTAGATAATTACACATACATACAGCTATTTTTTTAATATATATTTAAAAAAATAAATTACAAGATTAAAAATAGTCATTCTATAGAAATTTTTTCTATAAAACTTAATTTTATCAATGGATTTTGCCAACTCAATTTCAAAAATTTTGTATACTCAATCATTTATTGTATATAGTAGATCAATGGTACACAAAATAAATTTGATGGCACCCAACATATATCTTCTCATGTGGGCCAAGAAAAACTTGGAATAAGACTATGTGGATGTATAAATTGAATTTTATAATCTGCTTTTCTTTGGTTTTAAATTGAATAAAGCATAATCATGTGTTTATTTATACAATCAGGTAACCAATAAAGTTTGTTTGGTTTTTATTTATTGTCTACTTCTATGAATTTTATTCAATAAACAGGATGTAGTGGTAGTGTAATCATACTATGTATTTAATAAGTTTGATTACATTGAATTAAAGTGTATATGTATGGTAGTCTAAAATGCAATAATTTGTGCTTGTTTATTTTATGAATTCAAACTTGGTACCAAAGCTGCAAACTCTTATCGTAAGATATGTGCTGATTTAGGGAAAGGTACTGTAGCTGAATGGACAGGTCAGTTGTGGTTTAAAAAATCTGTAGATGAAAGTATGTAAGATGAACTTCACTCCAGAAGACCATTAATGATCAATAACAATGATATCAAGCTGGTAATTGAGCAGGATTCAAGTCAGACATTCCAAGCTCATGCCTTAAGATTTAATGTGAGTGATGAAACTATTCGCATACATTTGCATCGCTTGGGAAACAATGAAAGTTAAGTAAATTGGTACCACATGAATTACTCCATGAACTAACATTGCGACAAAAAGTTTTTTTAATTGCTTAGAAAAGGCAGCCAATCTTGAACCTGATCTCCTTTCTGTAACAGTTTGGTACTTGCAGTGCCTTGTGAATTTTAACTCCAACAAAACTCAATTATTTACAAACAACTTTCACAATATTGCTGACATTCCTAAATTGATAAATGGCAACCCTCTCACTGAGTCCTCTACTTTACATCTTCATTCACTACTGACCTCCAATGGAAACTGTAGATACAATCCATTGCAAAGTTAGCATCTGCTAAGGTGGCTTCTGTTTGCCATTTTCATACTCCTGATTCCATTCTTACCTCTATAAACCTCTTATTCGTCCATGTATGTAATACTATTGTCTTACTCTTCTAATGATACTCTTTCTCTACAATGAGAGAGTTGCTCAAATTATGCAGATAGAGCCAAGTTTGAGCAACTTTCTCATCGTCATAAGGTCTTATTTCTTTCTATTTTCTACAAATACTATTGTGGTCACTGCTTAAACAGCTATAATCTTTAGTTTCAACAACCAACTTGGTTGACTCGTCATTCAGCAAAGTTGCATCATTTTATTGTATTTGACCCTTCAGGCTCTTAAAACTTTTATACATCTTTTATACATTTTTTTCCACGCACACCAATGCTTTGAAACCCTCTCCCTTTTTCATGTTTTTCTCTTTAACACTATCATAGGGTGATATGCGCCTGCTGATTTTACATGGAATAACTCATTTAAAATAAAAAGAAACTTAGCTACAATAAAAACTAAATTTATAAAATTAAGAAAACCAAAATTGTCAACTTTGGTCACAAAAGAAATTAATTAAAATAAAAATTAAAAAAAGACAATATTTAACTGAAAAGCCAATAAATTTTTTTTTTTTTTTAAATATACTTTTTTATTTTTCATTTAAAAAAATGATTTTAAACAATAAAATCAAAATAACAATCATTTTATAAAATGACTATTATATTTGAACTTTTCACATAATTTCACTTATTTTGACATTATTTTTGACATTTTATTTAAGGAATTTTTCAAAATAACATTAGAGACCAGTCTAATACTAAAGTGTATTGAGAAAACCCTTAATTTAGTTAACAAATCATTTGTCACTAAAAAATAACTATGCAGATAACTGCAAAAAAAAAAGTTACAGATAACTGCAAAAAAAAATTTTTTTTGCATTCATGAACTAACCAAATCTACACTTTGTATGGAATACAAACATTAAGAGAATTGTATGTAATAAAACACTGTCATATCTTAGCTAGGTCTTCAAATAAGGGCCTTATTCTTTTACACAATGTGCAAAAAAACTAATGTACAAGTAGTTGGACTTGATAAAACACGAATGTGTTTCATAAGATGAAAAAACGACAATGAAAAAATGGAAATTTAACTTATATAAATAAAAATATTCTAACAAACATAAAAATGTTCATTATCACAAACTTTGCTATTTGTTGCTGCAAATGAACTTCAAGTCAATAGGTAAATTGATTGACAATAAAAATCAGTCTTTTTTTACTAATAGTCAGAAACTTATTCAATATCTGAAAATATTCCTGCCTAGACTAGGCACTAAATTAACTACTAGACCCTAGTAATTAATTTTTCTCAAGAAATATCAAAAACAGATAATCATTTTGCTTAAAAAATAAACATATAATGAAAACAAATTTGTGCTTGTGAAAAGACTTTAAAAAGTAAATAATTATTTAAGCTGTGTTGTAAACACAGTATTTTTTTGTGGAAAGATTTGTAAAGTTTGGCATTAAAAAATTTAAATGCAGGAATTTTTTATTTTTTTATTTTGACTATTTAATAAGCAATACAAAATAATATAGATGTAATAATTAATATGCAAACAGAAATTATAATTAACATGGAAAAATTAATACTACTTAATTAAATTAAAACTTAGTATTAAACTTCACATTATGTAAACTTGTATAGTTCATTAAAAATAAATAAATATACATATAAATATACATATAAATTAAATAACACATTATGTAAACTTGTATAGTTAATTAAAAATACATACAAGTTAAATAAAAATATTAAATAATCTATACAAGTTTTTGTATTTTGTATTACAAAATACAAAAACTTGTATAGATAATTAAAAATACATAAAATACGAATGTTGGCTGTTTTTTTTTTTTTTTTGGTTATTATTTTGCTACCAACCTTCAATCAACTATGCATTATAACATCCGAAGCTAAATCTTTATTTATTAAACATTTTCATTATAGTTATTCTTAAAAAATTAACCTATGAATTCAGATTTTAAGTAATAAAATTGCAAAGAAAACACCGCAAAACAACCTAATTTTTGTGGTCGCGTAAAAAAAAATTCCTGTCATTAATATTTGGTGTCATAAAAAGATTTTACAAATGCATCTGCATATTTGGATTGGAAGTGAGATTTGAGCCCAAAGACGTAAAATATAAAACCAATAAAATAATACAATAGTAACATCAGTTAAAGTTTTCTCAAAATTGGTCGCCAAGTTTTTGTTTTTTAACATTATTCCCGTCATCTTGATTGAGAATAATTTGCCCAATACCTATCTCATTTCAAACTCTTGCTTTGTTAATCTCCAAGGATTCTCTAATTTTTCTTGTCCTTTACTCTAGAGACACTGTCAAGATCTAAGGATTCAGCTAGCTTCATCGGATCTGTACTTTTATTAATTTTTAGATTTGATAATGCAGTCTGCAACTCAATTATAGTTTTGATTCGTTCATTTTTATATAAGAAGTTATTTGAAAAAAATCAAATATTAGAGAAGTGGCGAAATAGTTTGTGCTGATGCAAAGCTAATATTATTCAAAAAACTGTTTAATATTTCAGCAGTTAGCATTTTATCTTTAACTAATTTACTGTTTGTTAAAAGCTAGCTAAAAATTAAAAGCAGTTAAGAGCATTAAGAAAGTTCGTGTACCTAGGGTCTTCCCACTTTATTTGAAAATTATAAAGTTCTAAGTAATGCTTCTCAGTGAGGCAATTAGTTATAAAAGTATTTATTTTTTAATCCTATTCTGATACTCAAAAAATCAGAATAGGATTAAAATTTTTTTGATGTAACATAGCTACACAAAGTTATAATCGAAAAAGTCTTTTTGATAGCCTAAAGTAAGTTATCCGCTGGTATCTTAAATTGTTTTACAATCCTATAGGATTGTAAAATATTATAACTTATAAAAACTTGTAAATATAAAAACTTATATATATACTTATATTTAAAAAAACTTATAAAAAAGAATTTCCTCTATAGAGGAAATTTCTTTTTTATAAATTCTTTTATAAGTTTTATTATACCGTTTGTTACTTAAGTACTAAATGCGATGTTCAATAAGTTTCCTCTCAATCGGGGTTTGTTATTAGATGACATTATTTATGAGGCTATCATTTGTTAAACCTAGGAACATTTTGCTCAGGTTTAGTTTGCTCATGGCTGTATAGACATATAGTTTGCTGAGGGCCACCGAGAGCTTTCATGACGTCCGGGGCATTGCAGCAGTTAGGCGCCCCTGTAAGCATGCTTTTTTTTAAATTTAAGGCATGTACAAGTATACAAAGTAACGACTGTGTTTTTATTTATAATACCAATATTTTACATCTATATATTTATGAACCGCATTTGGATTAAATGACAATTATAAAACATATATAACTTTCATTAATTAGGATTAATGTACAGATTCTTTGAAATTAACATTAAAAACTTTTTTCTGCTTTTCAACTAGCAAAATTATTATTGTTGTTTTTATTATTATTGTTATCTTACGACAGAGTTGCATCCAATTCATTTTTAATATGTCTGTCCAATAGATGCTCGTGTTCTATAGTCGCCCTATAATAACTTTTTAAAGTAAGTTTTAATTTACTCAGGGCCTGTTTATATGGAAAGTGGGCTTGCTTGTCTGCCGAGCTAGCCCGTTTACCGAGATCACGACGTCATCGTTATTTTAACTTAAATTTATTTTGCGTTTAAATGAATAAACGAGCTACCCCGGATGGCGAGATCTCACTGTTTTCTGCCGAGATCTCGGCAAACGGGGCTGGTTATTTTCTCATATAAATTTGTACGCATGCGTGCAAATTCTTACATTTCTTCAAAATGAGAGCTTCAACGTATTATTTCAACTGCGTACTTACAACTTTATTTGTTTTGTTTTAAAATTTACAATTATACCTATTTCAATTTTATTGTTTGCAGTTTAATTATATTGATGGTAACTCTCATTCAAAATTGCTGATTTTATTGATAAAATAAAAAGAAAAACTTTAAATGGGTTTATAATATGGTAGAAACCCTTATAAATCTTATAAGCTATGAAGCAAGAATGCTTTATGAAAATATTAACTTTAATGCCTATAAAGTTCGTATATAGAAAACTTTGCTTATCTTTGGTCTATTTAATAATATTAAACTTTTAAGATGCATTATTTATGTTATAATATTAGTTAAACAAATTGTTCAAATAAAATGCGTTGCTTTCCATAGTCGCTATCTTTAAATTTATGATTTTATTGATAAAGAGGTCAGCCCGGCTATTAAAAGCAAGGCTGACCTCGATTTCAATTTTTTTGTTTTGGCACAAAACAGCTAATATATTCATATAAACGCAATTTTAAAACTGGCTCGTTTTCCGGGCTAGTTCGGCAAACAGGCTAGCCCTTGTCCATATAAACAGGCCCTCAAAGGTTGTTGACTTTATACTTATACGCACTTGCATTGCGCCAAAAAATATGAGGTAGAATGCACATAGATTAGAAAATAGGATAAAGACCGTTTGTGTATACTTGATTAAAAAAGCCTAAAGTGTTTTCAGAAGTGAAAAACGAAGACTCCTTTAAACTATTAAGATGCAAAAAATATCAATTTCAGAACTTCACTGAAATTGATAAACCGTTGGAATAAGTTATTAAACCGTTGGAATAAATTATTAAACCGTTGGAATAAATTATTAAGCCGTTGGAATAAATTAGCGCACTATGCGCTAATCTAATCCAACGGTTTGCAAACGTTTTTACAAACCGTATTTGCTATACAATTTGTAAAAAAATGCTGAAATTCTGGATAACACTTGATTAGTTGGTTCTTAAATTAAACAGGCCATTTTTTCTTAAATTATATTCTAAGTTTTATAAGAAAGGCTGTAGTTGTAGAATATAAAATTAAACCTATTGTAAATGTCAAGCAATTTTGTTTTGTGGTATGAGGTCACAGCTTTCCTTGAGTATTTAAGCCAATTATTTTTACTTATTAATAATTAATAAACGTTGTTGGACACGTTTGAGTAGAGCAATTTTTAATAAGGGTAGATCAAACTTGCACAGCTAGTACAATTTTTCTATAGCTAGAGAGCTTCTACACAGAAATGCCTTGAGACAACCAATTGCTAACCTTAGATGCTGCTTCTACTTATATATTGGCTTTAAAGTTGTTGGATATAAGTACTCCATGGTCTCGCTCAATGCATTTTGGAAATATATTGCATTGTTTACCGTTAATGTTAGCCACAGTATTATTAATATGTTTTTGCAACAACCAACTTGCATTACATTGCACTTTTTGACATTGAAATTCAAAAGCCAGTTGTGCAACCAAAAACAGCGCTGTTGTTGTCCACTTGCAGTTTTTCATAGTAAGAGGAAATTGATTGACACTGATAACTCATGTGATCTTGCCATCATCGTTTTAAAACTTGATAGGTTATAAATGCAGTCTGGTAAGTCATTGATAAAGAACACAAATAACAGTGATCCTTAAGGGTCGCCACTTTACTCCTCTATTATAACTCATTGTTGTCTAATTGCTAGAAGTACAATAGCTGCCCTTAAATGCCATAAGCATGAATAAGTGTTGAATTCTTTGGCAAAGTTGATAGAAATTTTGTAAAAACTGCTTTCTTTAAAATATTACGGTATTCAATTAGGTTTGTAAGGTAGTCTTTGTGACGTACAAATCAACATTGTGACTTTGATATTAGGTTGTGCACAGTAATTTATTATGCTATCTGTGATAATTCTTATTGTCACTTTACACAATATTGTTGAGAGACACCAGTTATAAGTTGTAGTTATAAGTCTTGAATTTCACATGAAAGATTCTGCGGCGCAAAGTTTTAATGTTGAAATATAAATATTATTTAATAATTTTTTTTTTTTTTTAAACAATTCATAAAAATATTTATTTATTACTTCATTTAAAGATACCATTTTTGTGTAAAATGAGCATGCTCAAATACGAAGTCGGTGATATGAATTTGGACTTGCTTCAAATAAAGTTAAACATTTTATACACTTCAATATAATGTTATTCCAGCAGTAAATAAACCAAACAGAAATAAAGATATCTTCTACTTTACTAGATAATAAAATCACTAACATCTTTTATAAAAACTATGTTGTCACAAATATAATTAAAACAGACTTATCATTTTCCTACTTTTTTGATGAAAAAAAAAAGATCTTAAAATAAAACAAAAGTATGAAAAGTTCGTAAAAAAAATTTATAATAAAGGAAACAAACTATAAACTTTATGAAAATATATTTGAAAAAACTAAACAACACTCAAAAAACTCTTATTAGATGGTAAAATAAACGAAAAAACATTAATAGTTGAAAATTTAAACAGCTTCTTTCTTAATATTGGTTTAAACTTCCATCAATCTCTTTCTCATATGATTCTTATTTAAAAACGTTGACCTTGTCATGGGCAAATTTAAACTAGATATAAATGAGTTGCGATCTGCTCCATATAGTCTTAAAAACAACACGATTGCAGGTTTTAATAATATTAGCATAAATATTGTAAAATCTGTTTTTAGTGTTACAGAAACAACTTTTCATCACATCTTTAATATTTTTTAATCAATTTAGTACAGTTCCAGAAAAATTAAAAAACTGCACGAGTCTTTCCTATTTTTAAATTTGGAGATGACAACGAATTCTTTAAATTGCAGAACAATATTAGTTTTACCTACTTTTACCCAAGCTTTTTTAAGTTAATTAGCTACGTAAGTTTAAGTTAAGTTAATTAGTTTAGTTAAGTTAATTAGCTACGTAAGTTTAAGTTAAACAGCTACGTAACAGTAAATATTATGTCGCACAGCAAACAATTTGATTTTAAGAAAAATCATTTAATTGATCCTACTTTGACCTAGCTAGTGTAACCGATGTCTTTTGTGATGACTATTTTAAATTAGAAGTCTTTATTGATCTGTTTAAAGCCTTAAACACAGTCAACCATGTAATTATTTAAAAAAAAATTGAACAAT